CCTGCGTGCAGTGTCTGCGGTCTCTGTTCAGCCCAACTGGCCTGCGTGCAGTGTCTGCGGTCTCAGTTCAGCTCAGCTGGCCTGCGTGCAGTGTCTGCGGTCTCTGTTCAGCCCAGCTGGCCTGCGTGCAGTGTCTGCGGTGTCTGTTCAGCCCAGCTGACCTGCGTGCAGTGTCTGCGGTCTCTGTTCAGCCCAGCTGGCCTGCGTGCAGTGTCTGCGGTCTCTGTTCAGCCCAGCTGGCCTGCGCGCAGTGTCTGCGGTCTCTGTTCAGCCCAGCTGGCCTGTGCGCAGTGTCTGCGGTCTCTGTTCAGTCCAGCTGGCCTGTGCGCAGTGTCTGCGGTCTCTGTTCAGCCCAGCTGGCCTGTGCGCAGTGTGTGCGGTCTGTTCAGCCCAGCTGGCCTGCTCTGGGTCCGTCTCGGTGCCGCCTGCGAGCTCATACTGTCCTGTTTATCGTTTATAGCATCCCAGTTCTAATCCCTACTTGTTTAGCCTTTATTGTCTGAGTGACAAGTTGCGTTTCCCTTTATCGGTGTTAAGGGGTGAGACTGTAGCACTTTGGTTGTGTAATTTCAGTGGATGAAGAGCCCCACTGGTTTAACCCCAAAACAGGCTGTGCAGCTGTAAAACAAAACCTCAACGGTAAAATGTACAGCCGTATAAACTGGAGAAGTGAAATCATCCAAGCAGCAACATACTTTCACCTATTTCAGGCCTAAACAAAGTGAGTGACATCACAGTTCGGCAGCTTGGTGAAGGAACAGTTTAATGTTTTTGTAAATTCTGCTCAGCTATTATACAGCAGGCATGCAGGACATTTGGGTCTATCACTCAGAAGGTTGAAGCCGCGGTCTTCCTTTGCAGATCCAGACGGTGGTGTTCGATAAGACCGGGACCATCACCTACGGCACCCCCAAAGTGGTCCAGGTGAAGATGTTGGCAGAAGGGAACAGCATGCCCCGCTCCCGCCTGCTGACCGTCGTGGGCACGGCGGAGAACAACAGCGAGCACCCGCTAGGGGCGGCTATCGCCCGCTTCTGCAAGCAGGTGCGCGGGGCGGCGCTTCGCCCGTGACCTTTGACTCTTCCCCCCCCCGGGTGTCGCTGATCATGGTCTCTGTGCCTGCGTGCATGTGTAGGAGCTGGGGTCCGAGTCGCTGGGCACGTGCACCGACTTCCAGGCCGTGCCGGGCTGTGGGATCCGCTGCCAGGTCAGCAACACGGTGCCGCCGCTGGGCCATGAGGACGGAGATGACAGGAACCAGCGCAACGCGCTGCTGGTGCAGCTGGGAGACAGTGGGGGCAGCCTCCGCTCGCACCCTCTGATCATGGAGCCCGAGCCGCTAAGTAAGGGGGGGGGGGACAGTCTGTGCTGCGTTTTTGGTTCTTTTTGATGGCAAGCAGTCACATGACATGCATAATTTCACCGGCACGGTCATGTGATGGCGTACACGTGCAGGCCTGGTGCAGACAGCCAGCCACTCGGTCCTCATCGGGAACAGGGAGTGGATGAAGAGGAACGGGCTGCAGGTGACTGGCGATGTGGACGAGGCCATGGTGGCCCACGAGTGCAGAGGCCGTACGGCCGTCCTGGTCGCGGTCGATGGTAAGGGCCGCCCCTAACCCCACCCCGACTCCGCCCCCACAGTCTGTAATCACCATGGCCTCCGCAGGGGTCCTCTGTGCCATGCTGGCCATCGCGGACACGGTGAAGCCGGAGGCGGAGCTGGCTGTCCACACGCTGATCTCCATGGGCCTGGAGGTGGTGCTCATGACTGGGGACAACAGCAAGACCGCACGCGCCATCGCCGCCCAGGTCAGCCCCCCGCCCCCCGCCCCCTGTCACATCAAGGTGACATCTCAGAGGCCGGTCTGCGAGGGGGCAGTCGGCCACGAACACATGCAGTAACAGGAAGTAGGGGTGGGCAGTACGGCGAACGTATCGCATCATGAGTTTTTCATGTAGGGTCACGGTCATGGTCTTATCGCGATTCTTTTTCATGATGGTTCTGCAAGATTATTTTGCAACTTACTTAACAGTGCAACCAAACTAATTACCCTAATTGTATTATTTATGTATTACCCTATAAGGTAATAACACCCAAACGACAAACACGCTCAGCGTACTGTATCGCGTGTTTTCTTTTCAGGTGGTTAAAAACGTTCGTCATGTCGCCATCCAACTTGCGAACCTCGTCTTTGCAGATTTTGCAAATAACCCGTTTCTCCCGTGCCAGGTGGGCATCCGGAAGGTGTTCGCCGAGGTCTTGCCCTCGCACAAGGTGGCCAAGGTGGAGCAGCTGCAGCAAGCGGGCAGGCGTGTGGCCATGGTCGGGGACGGCATCAACGACTCGCCGGCGCTGGCCATGGCCGACGTGGGCATAGCCATCGGCACGGGCACGGACGTGGCCATCGAGGCCGCCGACGTCGTGTTGATCAGGGTGAGCGGGGGGCCGGGGGCTTGAAAGACGTGGACGTTGCCCTCGGGAACAAGGAGCAACAGGGCATTGGTGTTTAATACCCCCATTGATGACATTTGTCATCTCTCAACAGTTGTGATGCAGGAAGTGCATAGAAAAGCTGTAGACTTTGCTAAATCACAAAAGCAGGCAGTTGTTTGTGCCCTAATGGTTCGAATCCCCGACCAGCAAGGTACCCCCCCCCAAGCACTGCTCCCCGGGCGCTGAATTAGCTGCCCCCTGCTATGTCACGATGTCACATATGGGTTAAATGCAGAGGACACCTTTCGTTGTTGTGTGCTGCGGTGTGTCAACAATGACCACTGATCACCAAATTCTATTTGGTACATCGGAGGTTCAGTGGAGTAACTGTGATCTGTCTGCAGTCTAGATTCGGTCGTAGAGAAGCCTTTAACGCTGAAACAGAAAAGCTTACCACTTATGTACCCTGAGATAACTGATCAAATGGTCCAATTTAAAGCATCCCAGCTCTGGTCCCTACTTGTTCAGCTGGTTTAGCCTTTATTATCTGAGTGACATGTTGAGTTTCCTTACATCCGTGTGGTGAAAAGGTGACATTGCAGCGTGTTAGTGTGATTTCTGTGTGCTGTGTTTTGAGTGAACAGGAAAGCGTAATGAAGGGTCCTACTGGTGTAGCGATATGGCTGCCGCCGTGACCTTTAAGCCTGAAGAGCGTGACCCCAACAGTAAAACATACATCTGTATAGACTAGAGAAGGTGTCTGTTAAAGAGAGAGCGGGCATTATCTAAGTAAGAAAAATTTCTGCCATTTCTGGCCTAAAAAGTACTAAGGAGAATATTAACGCCAAGCTTATGTTTGTGTTTCTCCAGAATGATCTTTTGGATGTAGTCGGCAGCATTGACTTATCAAAGAAGACAGTAAAGAGGATTCGAATTAACTTTGTTTTTGCCCTGATTTATAATCTTGTTGGGATTCCCATTGCTGCAGGTAGGAGTTGCGTGTTTTATGTTTGTTTTCTTGTTATATACGGTACCACTTTACAATTAGGGTCCCTTTGCCACTTTTAAATGGTAACTTATTAAAAAAGAAAACTGTGTTATAACTTGTTTATAAATTGTCTATTGATAATTTACAACCTAATTAATAACCAGATTATAAACCATTCATATGCTTTATATGGGCAGCCTTTTGTGAAGTGGCACCTTATATACTAATAATGTAATAATGTATATATACTCCACTCCTTTCCTTGTGGGCACCACCATGCTGAAGGCTTTAATGTGTGTGTGTGTGTGTGTGTGTGTGTGTGTGTGTGTGTGTGTGGGC